TTGTCCATCATTCGTTTAACTTCACTCTTGATTTACAAAGTCTAAAGGTCACCTAGATCCTAAAAAATTGCTAATTGATCATCTACACAACAAGGCCATTGGCTAGGACCTAATCCTATCCATTGCTTTACTCCCGCTAACCCACTTTAATTTATTTACACGTGTGCATGCAAATAGTGTTTGTGTTTTTGTTTATGTTGGGTCAGTGACGACTGACGAATTGAAATCTACAGCATACAACTCGTTGGTTTGATTCATGATTCGACTATTCAAACTCTTTCACCTTCTCATTGGCTTAGCACAACGACTGGTAGCGGTGAAAAAATGGTTTATTCAGTTAAAAATCAAATCGAATAAACCAAAAATTTTGAATGAAAAACCAAATCGAAACTGAAACTTTTAATTCGATTTTCGGTTACAAATGAATTTCAATACTATAATATAATACAATATAATATATATTATCGAAAAGCTAAAACCAGAACTGAAATTTCATAAAACTGAAAAAACGAATCAAAATAACCAAAAATTGAAAAATCCAAAATCAAAATTTTTGGTATAGTTTTTCAGTTTCAACTGAACAATGCTTACCTCTATCCACTTAGCCAGTTGACCTAAATCATCCTTAAGACCTTAATTGTCGCTGAATGTAATTCAGAATCAGTAGCTTAACCAAGCCTCTCTTGTGGCACCAAAGATTGGCTGAAGAGTGTAGTTGAGCTGATCAACAGGCCAATGTGAAAGGCTTCAACTTTCTCCCCCAACAAAACATGGCGGTCGTCCCAACTCTAGACATCCGATTGGAAATAAATCTCCTTTTTGTAAGCATTTGTTAATAATGCATTCATCCTCCAACTGAAATCAACTGATATCCTAGCCTTCTATATAGGCCGTTGGTTTGGAATTAAATTGGGTTCTGGAAAAGCAGCAAAGTGACTTATTTATCAATTAATCAGTAAGTAAAAATAATGTATTTATACCGAATTAACAAATCTTAAGGTATTTTTACCTATTTAGGGAACATAATTTCCATCCTGATGCAAGTATTCCACCAATAGAGTTTTACCTAGCCTTCGTCAAAGTGATATGTATTTTAACTTGTTGAGCATCTTTTAATGCCATCGCTATTGCAACTTGGGGGAGTTTATTGAAGATGACTAGTTTATGTATACTCTTGTGTTTATTAAAACATTTGTAATTCTTTTTTGGACTGTTTTATGCTTTGTTTTTATTTCTATAGGTTGTTTTGCTTTGGTCTATTTGTTTTAAAGCATGATCGTGAAATAGTGCATGGATGTATATTAGATAGTATATGTCCTTAACTCCAATCATATTGTTGTACATAAATATTTATGAATGAATAGTGTAAACACATTATTGTTTTATACATAAATTGGTATATTTTTGTAAATTATTCCTTAAATTGGACACTTATGAGACTCATATTAGTTTAAAAAGTTCTCAGCCATTGGATAGACTTGGGGAGTTTATCCTGATAAGATTGATACTGGTGTACTATCAAATTGGTAGAGCGACTTATCTCAACTACTAGGATTTGACTCCAAGCATAGCCAATGGGTGTTTAGAAGAAATATTGAACTTGGACCAATTTCTAGTTATACTCTAGACCTTGAAAATAAATGGGAAAAACAATAAAGTTGCACTTAACCCTGACTTGATTATGATATTACACTAAGTTTTTCGACTGAACTGTTTTTGATATGCCAACCAATGAAATCTATCAAGGGTCAAATATCTGGGCATATTGGGACAGTAAAGGAAACTACTTGAGAGGGTAATCATAGTGATAGGATTGACCCTTTTTTCAGGCAAACTGAATATTAGGGTTTACACTCTCTATGATGGAAATGTAAATTGCTGATAGTAGATTTCAATCGTATGTGAAATCTGATTTGCAAAATGTATTTATATGTTATATTACTATTTTATGAAAAATGTTTGCAAAATGTTTTAATCCTGTGATCCATCTGAGCAGAGAGTGTACACTGCATTTTGCAATCAAGGAAGAGGGCATTCTTCGTCACTAGTGTGTTGATGATTATGGGCTGAAATATTAGGTGTAAAAGACTATTATAGGGTTGATTACCTAATAGACTTCATTTTACATAAATCCATCATCCTTAGGTCTTCATAAGGTGGTTGAATCTAAGGATCATTTATGTTCAAATGTTGGGCCCAAAGTGAGCTCAAGCTGATTAAATCAGGGCTTCACTGCCCTTAAGCAAACATTATGTGAGACCTTTGTGGGTCTTATGCCATACAATGGTCAAGCCTATGTGGCCTTGCAATGCCTAAGTTAATGAGCCATTAAATAAAATGGGCCTAAGGCCCATTTCTAATGTGATTAATTAATTGATCAAGTTGTTATGTGATTTGGATTGAAAATGGGTATGGATCTGGGTTTAGAGCACCCATTCTCTTAAAAAGATAATTTTTATCTAATTGTCTAGTTGTAAATTTCCCTAGGGCTATGGAACAATGGATTATCCCAGATGTATGCCGAAGTATTGACGATAAGATAGAATGCAATAGAAATAAAGATATGGAACAAGTTATCTACTCCTAACGGTCAAAGTAAGCCCTTTCATTTTGAATCCTTTAATTTAGAATGAATCAAATCTCCCCACCTATGACGAATCAGTTAATAGACAACTGCTCTACCATTGAGTTACTAAGGAATAACGGAGGATTAGATTTCATAGAGTTCAATTCCCATTCTCAACCCATGACCAATATGAGCCTAAAGCTTCCTTTGTAACTCCTAGAACTTCTTTGTAGTGGCTTAGTTCCTTACCTCATTTCATAGGGAACCTCAAAGTGGCTCTATTTCATTATATTCCATTAATTTAATATCCCTTTGGTGTCATTGATATAAGAGATGTCATTTCTAGTCTATATCTTTCTATTTTTATATATGAAAAGTTAAGAAATCATCATATAATAATTGAGAAATTGCAATAGAAAAGAAAAAAAGGGAGGTTTGTGATGATTTTGAAAATTTTTCTACTAGTAATCTATTCTCCTTATGCATGAAGATAATAAATTCGGTCGTTGTGGTCGGACTCTATTATGGATTTCTGACCACATTCTCCATAGGGCCCTCTTATCTCTTCCTTCTCTAAGCTCAGGTTATGGAAGAAGGAACAGAGAAGGTGGCATCAACAACAACTAATTTTATTACTGGACAACTCATGTTGTTCATATCGATCTATTATGTGCCTCTACATCTAGCATTGTATAAACCTCATACAATAACCATCCTAGGTTTAATGTATCTTTTGTTTCATTTCTTCTAAAACAATCACAAATAATTTTTTTTTTTACTAGTAAGTATGCACGTGTTTTGTATGTGGGAATTCTAGATCATGATAATGATAGTAATAGTGTATCCAAAATTTTCTATAAAATTCATGTATTTTTTAATTTTTTTTATATTTTTTTTTTGTTTTTCACTATTAATCAGATGCAGATTGCAAAATCCAAATATGATTATGTAGCACCTCATATTGGGCTGCAAAGTTTTGGGTATCATTGACAGCCTACCTACTTGGTGGTCTTCTTTTTCTAATGTTTTTATCATCTTAGTGTATTTTTTTTTTGTTCACTTATAAAAAAAAATGTAAGATTTAAAGAGATGGAATTGAATGAGGTGAAAATTATAGTTCAAACTACATTTTAAATATCACAATTAAATAGGGATTAAATTCAAAAAATGGATATTTTAGTCAAAAGAAAGCTCTACAATCTTATTCAAATTTTTAATAGTAGTGTAAAATATGGAGTTATAGATGTGTTCAATTTTTTCTATATATATATTTTATTTCTATATGTGTAAAAATAATACTATTATGTACACTTATTTTTTTGTTTAATATGATAAATATATGATATTGTACATGTGCCCAAATGTTTTTTGTAAAATTCATGCATTTTTTATTTTTGTATTTTTATATTTTATAAATTTTTATTATTTAATTATGACATTAAAGGTATTGGACATAGATCTAGGGATGACATTTTTCCACATCCCCGACAAGGACTCAACTTCCCCAACCCAATGGGGTCAGGGATGGGGATTGTTTTGGCGGGGCGGGGACGGGGATGAAGATTAATAGGAATCCCCGATCGGGGTTGGATCAGGGATGGGGATTGAGGTCCTTGCCTCGTCCTGACCCCTATTATATATATTAAATGTTATTTATATTAAATATATATTATATTATTTTTATATATCAAAATATATTTAAAACATTATTTATAATTTAATTTATTTATTTATTTTTCAAAAAAATACTGTTATTTAAAAAAAATTCGGGGATTTGGGTCCCTGTGGGGAACCCATCCCCATCGAGGATCGGGGATGGATGACAAATTTTATCCTCGACGAGGATTGGGGACAGGGATGGGGGTTAATTTCAAAATCAAGATCGGGCATGGGGAATATAATCCCCGCCCCATTGCCATTCTTATATAGATCTAAATAGTAGCATTTATTAGTGAAAAATAACTTAAATATAGAATTTAATAAGATAAAATGTGAGTTAATTCCTTAAATATAATAATTAATGAAAGGGGTTTAAATGAGGTGAAAAGCATTAATTGAATCTACAACCAGAAATTCAACATGTAATTAGTCCCTGAACTTTGGGCTTAATACCACTTTGGTCCCTGAACTTTAAAACGTGATAATTAGTGCCCAAACTTTTAATCAATCCATTAAGGAATTATTAAGTAATTTGAAAAGACACAAATATCCTTCAAATATCATTTAATTTTCTTTATCAATCATCCAAATTTAAAAAAAAAAATTAACATTCTCAAATCCTTAATTCTTCGTAATAAAATTATTAATCGGGTACTGAATCGTGACGTTTTAAAGCTAAAGAACCACTCACGAGCAAATGTGGTGAGTGCCCACGTGCCTCTTGCTCTTCAACATCATGAGCGCGTGGGCGGTTAAAAGGAAGGAATGTAAATGGATGTAGTCTACTACATTGGAGACCTCCTCCTATCAGACTGAACTGTAAACATTCAAAGGGAACACCGTGACTACTTGCACTTGTACCTGAGAGAGAGAGAAAAAAGAAAGAGAGGCATGCAGGCATAGAGTAGAGATAGGAGAATGGAAAATCAGAAGGAAGTTCAAGCAGCCGAGGCTAAAATCTGGAATTTCGTCTATGGCTTTGCCGACACTTTAGTCCTCCGATGTGCCATTGAGCTGGGTATTGCAGACATAATCCATAAGCAGGGAGAACCCTTGACGCTCTCTGAACTGGGGGCTCAAATTCCTCTGAAGTCGGTCAACACCGACCACTTGCACAGGTTAATGCGTTACTTGGTGCACATGAAGCTCTTCACCAAGGAAACCCTAGATGGCGAAGCTCGATATGGGCTGGCTCCACCGGCTAAGTTGCTTGTAAAATGGTGGGAGGACAAGGGCTTGGCGTCAATCATATTTGGGATCACTGACAAGGATTTCATAGCACCCTGGCACCATCTCAAGGATAGCTTGGCCGGCGATGGCGAGGAGACAACTTTTGAGAAGGTGTTAGGGAAGAGCATATCGACATACATGGCTGATCATCTGGAGAAGAGTATGTTGTTCAATGAATCAATGGTTCATGATACCAGGCTCTTCACATCAGTCTTGATTCAAGACTTCAAGGATGTATTCCAAGGAATTAAGTCGTTGGTGGATGTTGGTGGAGGCTCTGGAACTGACATGGGAGCCATTGCCAAGGCCTTTCCCCACCTAAAATGTACAATTTATGGTCTACCTCATGTCATTGCCGACTCCCCTGATTACCCTGAGGTCGACCGGATTTCAGGCGACATGTTCAAACACATTCCCAGTGCCGATGCCATCTTATTGAAGGTAAATAAGTTGAGTTTGTTTCAATCTCTTCACATTATTCAACCCTAATCCTAATCCAATCTTCATCCCAACTAAACCCTCCTTCCCCTTTTTCTGGTCAGATTGGGTTGGGTTTGGCCTTGCAGCCCTACTAGTATTAAAGTTTCTATAATTTTCAGCATTCACTGTTTGTAATTTCTACTGATATTTTGTTTTTGTACTGTGATTCAGTGCATCCTCCATTACTGGGGTGATGGTCAATGCATTGAAATTCTAAAGAGATGCAAAGAATCAGTGCCTAGAGAGGGTGGAATAGTTATCATCGCCGACGCAGTAGTAGATTTGGAATCTAAGCATCCCTACTTAACAAAAACTTTACTAAGCACGGATTTGGACATGATGCTCAACACTGGAGGAAAAGAGAGGACTGAGGCAGAATGGAAGAAGCTTTTTAATGCTGCAGGGTTCCCTGCATATAAGATTACACATGTAGCTGACGTTGAGTACTCTGTAATTGAGGCCTATCCTTATTAGCCTCCCCCCTCCCCCGGTCCAGCAACTTGTCTTCTTCTTCTTCAGTACTAATAATATTTAGCTTTTGTTTGGTTGCATATATATTAGTGTATGGGATGGGTTCAAGGCTCACGATGACCATTCCTTTTTCCACATATCTGTGACTAACACTGAATGATGGCTTTCTTGACTATCTATTATCAAATCAATCTATGCAATTCCCACTACCTATTACCAACTCCTACCCAAGTGAGATTGACCATTCTAAGTTTTAATTTACTAACGCTTAGAGGTGTAAAGTGGGTTTTAATTTATTAACGCTTAGAGGTGTAAAGTGGGTCGTGCCGGTCATGACTCGTGGGCAGTCAGCACAAAGTGCGGGCCATGCCGTGCTGGCCCGCGGGCTGTTACGGGTCATGCCGCCCTCCCCTGTGAAAAGTTTGGGGGTTGGCCCGACACGGCCCATGGCCCAAGCCATGCGAGCTTGTGCCGTGCTGCGGGTTGGGCTGGCCCGTGGGCCAAGCCTTGGCCAAGTCAGGCCATGGATCGGGCTAAAGCTATTTTTGCCTATTTATTTGAAAAAATTGAAAAAAAATTTAAAATTTTAATTTTATATGAATTTTGATGTACACAATTGATTATATATACAATAATTAAATAAATTAATTTAATAAAATCGAAACACAATTGTTTATTTTATTAATATAATAATATATTATATCATAATATATATATATATGGGTCGTGCTAACACGCAAGCTGCAAGCGGCACGACCTGATTTACACCTCTACCAATGCTAAATAATTTTTTTGGAAAATTTTGTTCAATAAAAAATGGATCATATACATGTAGGCCCTACATACCTAAACTGAATCAACACAATTATATATACAGGCTCAATTTGGAAGGACAACAAATACAAACATGAACAAATAGGTAAGTACAAATACATATAAAAGACATACAAAATAGAAGGTTTTGCACTCTACATATTTGTATTTGTATTCCTTCCAAACTACTATTAAAAATTTTACTAGCAGTCATCAAACTGTCGCTAAAAGAAGTATCATTAGAAGTTTTAGTAGTAGTTTTCTCGGCTACCGATACAAACAAAAAACTACCCTAGAAGTTTAGCAGTAGTTTTCTTGGTTACCGATACAAATAAAAAACAGTAGCTAAAAGTACTTTTAGTGACAACTAGACTTGTTCATGGGTCGGGCTCGGGCTTGGCTTTTGCTAAAAGTTCAATGGGCCCGACTCAAAGACTGAGTCCAACAAAGTGTAAAGTCAGGCCCATAAATAGGTCTAGTGGCAGCTATGACTGCCACTACAAGATGGACCAATTACCACTATAAGTTTGATGTGTATTTTTTAGCAACAGACGTGAAATCTGTATATATATATATATATATATATATATATTGGGTAAAATACAAAAACCTCTCCTGAAGTTTCTGACAATCATAAAAATCTCTCCTCAACTTTAACTTTAACAAAAACCTCTCTTAAGCTTTTAAAAAACTCAACATAAACCTCCCTTCCCTCATTGTCCCAAATGAAAACATTTGATTGATGCATGATTTCTTTAAAATACACATTTTACCCTTTTGAATATGATGTCACATAAAATGAAATAACCCATTTACCGCCCTTTTCTTCAACTTGAAACTCCACCGAGTTCAAACTCATGCCGTCGTTTTTCTCTCTGAAACTCCATCGAGTTCAGACTTATGCCACCTTTTTTTCTACTTGAAACTTCATCGAGTTCAGACAAATACCCTAGAGACAGTATGCAAACCTGTGACGGTAAAAGCAAGCAGTTCTTACTATTGATAAACCAATCCGGTAGAGAGCACTCCATTTTTTTTTACCTCAAAATGTCCACCAGTTCATTGGAAATCTAACAATAAATACACACTTATAATGCTTATACAAAGAAACATGGACAACAGATCTCAGATCTCATGTTCACTTTCAATCCATGTACTAGAATAGTGATGAAGAAAGAACTTCACACTCAGGCATACACAAAATGCCTATCTGTCACAATTTCCTCAAGCACCAAAAGAATTCCGAGGGTATCTTTAGACAAAGAGGAGAACATGGTGGAGTAATTTGATATCTCATATTCTATAGTTGGAAGTGTAGTAAACAAACTGGTTGCTATCCAGTCTTACTCAGCCTTGCTTAGTTGTATCAAATCAATTAAATATATTCCTAATAGTCTATAAATGTTAGAATAATAGAGTAAAATAAAAGTTGGTTACTTGTACAGATGTAGCTTGCCGCGGGTATTTTTTCTGTTACAACTGTCTCAGTCTTGTCTATATATACATGTCTCTTGTAATTTAATGAATATGAGTTTCATTCGACACTTGATACCTATCTTCATGGTATAGAGCAGTGATCCACCATTTCCGCTACTCTTTTTTTTTCTTGTTGAACCAAAATCCTATGATCAAGCTGCCTAGGACCCTCACTGGCACCAAGCCATGGCCGATGAGATAGCAACTTTAAAGCGAAATAACACATGGAAAATTGTTCCTCTCCCTCTAAGCAAACATCCTATTGGTTTAAAATGGGTGTACAAAATTAAATACAAAGCTGATAATACCACTGAGCGCTTCAAGGCGCGTTTTGTAGAAAAGGTCTACATTCAAGTTGAAGGTCTTGATTATCATGATACCTTTGCTCCCATGGAAAAAAACCACCCTCCATTGTCTTCTTGCTATAGCAGCAATCAAATGATGGGATCTCTACCAACTAGATGTAAATAATGCTCTTCTTCATGGAAACCTCCATGAAGAAGTATACATGACCGTGCCTCAAGGATTTACAACTATTGGTGCTATTCAAGTTTGTAAACTTCAAAAATCTCTATATGGTCTTAAGTAGGCCTCCAGAATGTGGTTTGCAAAATTTACACATGCTCTGACATTTCTTGGATTCACTCAATCCACTGTTGACTATTCCCTATTTAGTGCTTCTTCCAAAACGTCCTTTTGTTTCCATCATTGTTTATGTAGATGATATCATCATTACTAGCAATGATCATGAATGCATTCTATTAATCAAGAAACATATAGATGACAAGTTTGGTATCAAGGACCTTGACCCCTTATGGTTCTTCTTGGGCCTTGAAGTCACACGTTCAACATTTGAGATTTTTCTTAGTCAAAACAAATATGCATTTGATATTATCCAAGATATAGGACTCCAAGACTGCAACCCCTGTGCCACTCCAATGAAACAACAAAATCACCTTGTTGATAGCTCTAGTCCACTTTACTCAAACCCTGTCCAATATCGCAGACTAGTGGGCCGACTTGTTTACCTCACTTACACTCGCCCCTAATTAAGCTTTGCAACCAACCACCTAAGCCAATTCATGCATGAGCCTTATCAAGAACATTTAAATGGTACACTCAGAGTTGTTTGATACATTAAAGGCACACTCTCTACTAGGTTATTTTTCTTAGCTTCAAACAAGCCTCAACTCCAAGTTTTTTGTGATTCTAATTGGGCAAGATGTCCCATTACTTGCCACTCCACCACTGGCTATCTTACTTTGCTTGGGGATTCCCCCCTCTTATAAAAGACTAAGAAACAACACACAGTTTCATGATCCTCTACTAAAGCTGAATATCGTGCCATGGCTGCTGCATCTTCTGAATTATCTGGTTACAACAAGTTCTTTCTGAACTCACTATTACTTTGAATGGACCTCCAATTCTTTACTTTGATAACAAAGTTACTATTCACATTGCTACGAATCCAGTTTTTCATGAACGTAAGAAACACATCGAGATTGATTATCACTTTGTGTGTGACCTTATCCAACATGGTGATTTACTTACAACACATGTGTCAGGCAATACTCAACCCACATACCTGTTTACAAAGGCTATTCTGGCTGACCATTTCCTTGGACACTTATCCAAGTTGGGCATCAATGAAGCTCCAACTTAAAGGGTAGGGGGTTAGAATAATAGAGTAAAATCAAAGTTGGTTACATGTACAACTATATCTTGCCATGTGTATTTTCTCTGTTACAATTGTCTCAGTCTTGTCTAAATATGCGTGTCTCTTGTAATTTAATGAGTATGAGTTTCATTCGACACTTGATACCTATCTTCAATAAAAATATACAAAGTGCTACAAAATCATACAATTGGAATCTTTCATTCATCGTTTGATTGAAGCTCTCATAAACTATATAAAAAGCAAGAGAATCAAGGGAAAACCCAACCTTCACCAAAGCCTCATAAACATCATTAGGAACAAGAAATCCACGACCCTATCTAGGTCTAAAAAGCTTGTTGAACAACCTCAAGAAGAAACTTGTTAAGAGCAACAAATTCTTCAAAGTTCATTGTTCCATTTTGATCGAAATCATACATTCTGATCATTTGCTTGTTCGATAATGGGTACTTGGAAAAAAGCATAGAAGGCCATATTTTGCCATAGGTAAAATGGTAAAATGGGTACTTAAAAAATAATGCATCAATCAAAAGTTTTTCGTCTGGGACAGTGATGAAGGGTGGTTTATGTTGAGTTTTCCAAAAGTTCAAGAGAGGTTTTTGTTAAAGTAAAACTTGAGGGGAGGTTTTTTTGATTGTTAGAAACATTAGGGGAGGTTTTTGTATTTTACCCATAATTTTTCCTTATAACCTGTATTTTCTCAGATTTATTTTTAATTTGCTTCAAATAACGTGTTTTCTCTACATTCGTTTAAATTGAAATGAAATACAAAATTCAAAATATCAATTACAAATAAAATTTAGGGTCTGTTTGGTTCGCAATCGGAATCAAAATCGGAATGGCTTATTCCCATAGTCTGTTTTGTTTGGTTCAGACAAGAATGAGAATGGGATTTCATTCCCAAGGGAGGGGAAGGGAATGACCATTCCCTCAAATGGGGGAATGCCATTCCAACAAGAAGGGGAATGGTATTCCGATTCCATCCAATCAGATAGTTGGAATCGAAATAAGCCCACTCTGATTCTAATTCTAGACCCTTATTCCTATGAACCAAACGGAGCCTTAAAAAGTTCATTCTCTATTCAAAACATTTGAGTCATATATACAACTTAGTTTTAAATTGCTAGATACTTTAGTACAAATTATATCATCCATTCTCAAAATTCAAAACAC